GGGCTGGGTCTACCCTCCCTAGAGAGAGCCAAAGCACAAACAGAGCTGCAAATTTGCAGTTTGTGTGCACATCAAGACTTCAATCCGGTCGCTCTTTTTAAAGCTGGCCAGCTTCCACTGACAGCACTTTGGGTGTTTGTGCTTTGAGTTGCAGACGAAAGTCTGAAGGCACACAGTGGCACGCTGGCTTTGCACATCCGGATTTGAGCTTGTTGTGGTTTTTTTAAATGATACGAAGCCGTGGTTCATGTTGCATGTGAAAGGACCTTGGCACGGACAGAAAGAAAACTCGTTTTTCTACAGTGTCCGTAGTGCAAGATTAGAAAAGCACAGAACACACGCAACCAACACAAGAACACTGAAAGGGAAAAACTATGTTGCCAACAATCAGTAAAGAGCGGGCATAATGGCTTGGAAGGATGCATCCAACTGACTTTATTTTCTTTCTTTTTTGCAACACCGGCTTTTGTTTTCCACCCATGCACATGTCTTGCTTCATGCGTCTTTTCCGGTTTCTTGCTGGATTCTAATATTGGCACATGTTCCAAGGATACGTCACCGTTTTTTTTCGGTCCAGATTTTTGTGGTGGAGAAGCACTTTCTTGTTTTTTTTTGGAACAAAAGATCTGGATGAATGTCACCGTTCCGTTTTTATTTGTGTTCGATCTGTTAAGTCTTGGGTTCCGCAGATTCAGTTCTAGATGCGGTTTTCGCAGTCTCCATCCGGAAGACTTCTTTGCAGATTGTTTCCGTTGAGCATTGAGCATTGCAGCTGCGCATGATCCATGTTCCGTCCAACTGTGTTGCAACCACTGTTGCTCTCAGCATTGTGCTGTTGTTTTTTTGCTTGTACCAGGCAGCTTGCGTTAGTCCCTGCTTGGGCTTGAAGACACCGATGTTGGAGCGTGTGCTTCCTGCTGCGGGAAGACATGTGGCCTTTGTTTTTTTCTTTTTGACCGGATCACAATGGGCGATTCAATTCGCCGCGCAATGTGCGTGTCCTCACCTCTCGCAACGCTTTGTTAGACGCCGAGCAGCGATTCAATTGGTTCAAAGTCAAAAAAGAAGTCAGACGTGAGGTTGAACATTGAACCCGTGCCATTGCTTGTCCTAGTCTAACAAATGTGACTGTTCATGGTTTGTTGAAATCTTCAGTGAACAGCAAGGAACAGAGCAGGCTTTCAATTTTCAGAACATTTGTTCAACTGTTTAAAAGGGTGATTGACGAAAACATCCGCATGCCTGAATATGAAAATCAGTTGTTGAAGATCTTATCTTGCCGGCAGCGGTATTGCACAAAAAACATGCAGCGGTGTTGTACAATCGGCTATGTTTGACATCCAATGCGACTTCACAAAGAAAATACTTGATTGCGCAGACAAGTTAAACTTGTTAGCAATGTCGCGTGTTGTTTTATCGCATCCCGCTTCCTGCTGCAGGTTGTATCAGCCACATTTTGAATGCTCGACAGGGTTTTCATACATCATCAGTTTGTTGCATGGGATTCGGCATTCTCAAATGAATCCTCAGTGGGTGTCCCACTATGGGGCGTGGTGCTCGGAATTTTCTGGTTTCTTGCAGTCTGACCTTTATGGAGCGCCGACAGAATCCCCCAGGTACATCTACCACGAGCGGCAGTTAGGCGGCTTATGTGGCGTGATGCTTAGACGCACTCCTGCTATTGTGGTGCACGTCAAGAACAACCACATGTCGCATCAGTGCATTAGTTGCTGTGCCCGAACGTGGGGCGTCTGTAGCAGTGGATGGATCAGCAATGAATGCAGGTGTGCACTGCCTCAACAACCTGCTGCAGGCAACACAGGGACATGCAAGGTATTCTCAGGCACTGGTTACCATGCTCATCTGGGGTCTTGATCTGGGGTCTTGGTTACATTCCGCGCTATGCTGTAATGGTGTAATGGGTGGCCGTCATAGTGCTTGGTGGGGAGATGATTTGATGCTGCAGCCCCACTTCGCATATTCGGAAGGGTCCGGCTTTTGGGCCCGGCGACTTGGCAGAGATCGGAGTGCACTTGGATCAGCAGGACCTTTGACCAGTGAGCGGGGTTTCAGCGAATCACCCAGATTACTGTGCAAGATGAGTCTGTGGTCGCGATTCGAGAGTTTAATCTTGTCTTGTACCACGACTCCCCTCCGCAGCAGTCCCTCAACCTTGCGACGATGATCGAAATGGTGTCGTGTGCGAACCAACAGAAAGCTTGTGGATATCGTGAGAAGGGTGTCCCGCAGCTGCATGTCTGATCTCCATACGCAAGAGTAGCAGTAGTCTATATGCTCGCATATTCAGACATATGTTACAGCAGGCATTAAACATTGATGTGAACAGGGACAGGGACATGCAAACATTTCTGCTCTTCTTGCCTAGATGCTTACCTTCGCTTCTTTGTGAACTATGAGCGATTGTAGGTGCTCTGTATTCTTCCGCATTACATTGTCTGTTTGTATGCGTGCATCTGTCTAATCTGTTTACTGCCGGGCGCAGTAACCTTACCCGGTAATTCAGGCCCGAGCATCAGCAGAATGGCTTCCATTCCAACAGGGTGGCGCTGTTGCAGACAAGTCTCCGCACTTGATGTTTGGCAGTGCGGGAGTCTGGCATGTATACATAGACATCAGTTGCATGTAAACACACAATATAGGTCTGCTCTCTTTGGTGCATTCCGAATGCAATGACATGTTACCGATTCTGTTTGTTTTTGTGTTAAGATATGTGTATTCATGTGTTACGGATGGGTAAGTTGTGAGGGAGTGCATGCATGCATTGCTGCATGCATGAATGCATACATACATACATACATACATACATACATACATACACACGTACATACATACATACGTACATACGTACACACGTACATACGTACATACATGCATACATACATACATGCATACATACATAGACATACACATTTACGTATGACTGCACATACAAGAAGCATCTTCGAGGAGCGTGCTCTGGTCCGATCTCAAAGTTCTCAAAGCCAAGGCAGGCGACACATTGGCACAGGAGCTGACGTAGCTTCATGAAACTGCTTTCTTCGGACTTGTCTGCCTATGCAGCTGCCAATCGAGGTGGTGCTGGTCTCGAAGGGCAGCCCTACAATGCTCCGAGCTCGAGACACGGGGAATGCCTCGTCCTGGGGCATGTAGACATGTAGCTACGGCCAAGGTTGACAGTTCAGCAGATGGTGGAAACTTCAGCATTCAGGCACGGATGGCAACTGAATGGTCGAGCAGATGCCGAAATCATGTCCTGGTCGTCTCATCCAGTCAGCACTGTTTTTGAGTGAGACGCTCAAGTGGAACAATCTTGTACAGACATTTTGAATCCCAATACGCCAAAATCGGCAAGACTTGCCATGAAGGTGTTGACTGTCGCGCTCGAGCGATACCATCTGGAGCTAGTGCCGTCAAGGCATCGCAAGCACACTTTGGAAAGGATGACACTTTGCATGTATGTGAAAGGTGTCCAAGAGCATACACGAAGAGCTCTTCAAGCCGTGGTTGTTTCTTTGCCCGCATGTTCTGTGCTTGCCAGGCATCCTGATGTCAAGGAAAAGATGCAGGACAGACTGCAAGCGATTTGGCCAGTCGCTAGCAATCAGTTGATGACTTGCACGTGCTTACGTTCTTTCAGCCTTTGAGCCAGGATCCTGCTAGTGCCACTCAGGCGTTTCTGTGTCAGACCCCGAGCACTCAAAGAGGATGCGCAGTCTGCTTGCACCTTTCAGGGTTCAGCGAGGAGACTTGCGCTTGCCAGGTTTACTCAAAGACTGTGATCACTGACCCTTTGAAAGCCGCCACCAATTGAGGTCAATATCATGACCACTGGTTCGCCATCCGGAAGGCTTGCATCGCTCTGCAGCACAGGTAGTTGACACTTGCCGGATCATGCCGGCTGTCTGATTGACTGCTTTCCTGGAGAGCTGATGCCGAACTTGTCATCGGACTTGCCAACTTGCCTTTTTCGACGCCGTTGCTTCGTTCGGCTCATGAGTGTAGCAATTCGGTACGGCGCGTGGCGTCCGGACCTCGGTTGTTGACATGTGCCAAGGGCTCAAGGCGGAAGCTTCCTCCTCCTCCTCCTCGTTCCATCTTGGATAGGCATGTGTGCAGCACTGAAGCCCAGTCTGGAGGGTTCCTGGCTGTTTCGCAAGATCGGACGGACCTGCCGGCCTCCCCAGCAGTTGACTTGGTAAGCATTGACCCCAGCTCTATTGTCTGCGGCATAGTCCCCAGGAAGGTTTGCAGTATACAGGAAATGAAAGATACCATGTGGCTGTTCGAGTTAAGGTTAAGGGGGTGCAGTCTTATTTAAAGCTTAAGATTTAAGTTCATTTTATCTCAATCCTTGAAGCAACTTGCGGGAATTAGCCGTCGCATTGACTGCGACTTCGACGGAGTTGCAAACGTTCAGGGCTTCACGAATACAGCCTTGATTTAGAGCGGCAGGCAGGCTTTGTGCATGTGCTTTGACAGGAGGGAAGCATAAGGTTGGGGGGGTAAGCATGCTGGAGCCGTCACATGTCTAAATTGACGAAGTTAACGCAATGTGAGGGTGAAGTCAGATCTGAGTCTGAGGCTTTCGGTGGATGTCTGTCAAGCAATACTTTTGCGGTGCAATACGCGAGGCACGACGCTTCTTTCTGCCGTAGGAGGGGGCTCCGGGTCGGAAGCTCAGGGCAGCATTGAGTATCCAGTGCAGTCAGCTGGCCAGCCACTAGTTGCTAGATTGTCTTGCTGCAAGCTGTCTCTTTGACGCGCATGCCTTTCGCTTAGCTCTAGTCACGTATGCGGACAAGTAGCTGGTTCGCACACTGCTGAAGCGGTAAAAAATGTCAACACACCCCACAGCTGTACAGAAGAGCACTGGTTCTACATCGAAGCACGCACAGATTTGTACTGCTCACTTTCTCACCTGGTATCCTCGAACAGGCCATGGCCTCTCCATGTGATTTGGCCGCAATGCCTAAAACGTGATGTCTGGCACGGAAGAATGTCCAGAGGACACGGTGCCACCAGCGACCATCACACTACGAGTTGCTCTGCTCAGTGGGGAAGCGACCACTGTGGTCGTGGATCATGACAGCACTGTCCAAAGGCTACGCTCCAAGGTCCAGAAGGAGCTTGGCATCCATGAGCTGATCACTGCAAGTGGTCAGCTTTTGAAGGGAACTCACACTTTGCAAGACATAGGCCTGCAAAACGGGGATACAGTAACTGCCACAGTCAGGTACGCGACTCTCGTGTCCGGAAGGCTTTGCAGAGCATTTGCCTTACTCCGTGGTGATGGGTCTGTGGTTTCCTGGGGCGAAAAAGTTGCCTGTGGTCAATACAGCACTGTCGCGCCTGCCAAGCTCGAAGGTGTGCAGAGGATTCGCTGCTCAAGCGGAGCTTTTGCTGCCGTGTTGAGTGATGATTCGGTGGTTACTTGGGGTGACACCGCTTGCGGCGCTGATAGCACATCAGTGATGTCTCAGCTTCACAATGTGCACGACATGTCGGCTTCGGCCTTTGCCTTTGCTGCCATCAGGCATGATGGTAGTGTAGTCACCTGGGGTGATCGGCGATTTGGTGGAGACAGCAGCTCCGTGCAGGAGCAGCTTGTGGACGTCAAGCATATTGCTGCCTCCGGGCGTGCGTTCGCGGCAATTCGGGGTGATGGTGCTGTCGCAGCATGGGGAAGCGAGGACTGCGGAGGAGATTGCAGTGAAGTGAAAGGTCTTCTCCAAAACGTCACACAGGTTCATCACACGTACTCGGCCTTCGCAGCCATCCGGAGTGACGGTAGTGTCGTCACCTGGGGCGACAAGCATGGCGGAGGCGACAGCAGCACCGTCCAGGCTCAGCTTCAAGATGTCAGGAAAGTCCATGGTTCCAGCTACGCTTTCGCTGCCATTCGAGGTGATGGGACCGTGGTGACTTGGGGCTCAGCTGACTCGGGAGGTGACAGCAGTAGTGTGCAGGACAAGCTCCGGAACATCAAGGAGATCCGGGCCACCGACACCGCTTTTGCTGCCCTTCGAGGGGATGGCACGGTTGTTACTTGGGGAGGACGTCACGGCTTTGGTCGAGGGGGGAACAGCCTGGCGGTCCAGGCCCAACTGAGAGATGTCCAGAAGCTTTCGGCTTCCGATGGTGCGTTCGCAGCGATACTCGGAGATGGGACGGTTGTCACTTGGGGAGACGAGGACTACGGAGGCGACTGCCAGGTGGTGCAGGATCAGCTCTACGACGCTCGAGATATTCAAGGCTCAAACTCAGCCTTTGCCGTCATCCGCGGTGATGGTGGTGTGGTCACTTGGGGTGACAGGCAGGTTGGGGGTGACAGCAGTCCGGTTCAAGACCAGCTGCAGGATGTCCATTGCACTTCCCTTCGCATCTCCAAGTTCTCTGCCAAGCATGAAGCTGGAGACAGTTAATGGTTTATGAACGGTCCAGCATGATTCTGCTGGAACCACTTAATTGTTTCACCAGTACGTCGTTTTCCTCTTCTCTTCCTAAGGCATCTAGAGAAGCAGAAAGTGGTTGGAGAGCCACACTGCATCGTGTTATCGTTAGAGTGTCAGTGGCTGAGACATTGCCGGATTGATTTAATACTTTCAGGTTTCTTTCTTGGCACAGGCACATACCACTCACTGCAAGTCGGCGCACGAGGCAAAAAGCAGCTCTCCCACAAGCATCGGAACCTTCTGCGTATGGCCAATGCTTTGGAGTGTGCGTGATTGATCCTTTGCAGATTCTTGCTGTTGTGGCTTCATCAAGACAGCTATTCTTTCCTGGCCAGTCAAGGCTGATGGAGCTGAGTTTCAAAGGCTCCGGGGCCATAAAGTGCCTTGGATAAGATTCAAGCGATGTCCTTGTTCACTGCAGCTCAGCTGATTCGCCCCCATGCTGCGCCATGTGACAGTCCAGATAGACACGTGATCTCATGATCCGGACATGGCTAAGTGCGCCACCGCCAACGCATGTGGAAGGTCCTTCAAGCTTGGAGGAATAGAAGCTTCATTGACAATCGGTGAGCTCAAAAGGAAGTGCCACGAGGAGCCGTAAGGATTTTATTCGGATGGCTTCTGGTGGGCATGGCGGGGCTTGATGTCAGCAAAGCTGAAGCCGAGCTGCACAGATGCCTGAAACCAAGGTTTCATGTCGTGAGGTAGCACGGAACATAGTGCATAGAATGACAAGACCCTTGCAGCAAACGAAGCTCCATCTTCTCTGCATGTGCAAGCGGCAGGAGTGCGGCTTGGACGCTTCGGAGCAGCGACTGTTCCTCAAGGGGAAGCTGTTGAAGGAGCGCATTAAGCATTGGCATTCTCCGTTTTGACACTCTCTGGAAATTACTTGTCTCCGACCCCAAGGCCAAGATCTGAAGCCCTATGTAAAGCCCTAAATCTATGATGTTATTACAAACTGCCAAGTGGTGTCACGGTTCTGTTAGTTAGTCTCAGTCTACTTGGTTATACTTGTTGCAGACTTCTGACTATGCTTGTAGTTCGAGATTCGTCGCATCAGTTCTTGCCAAGCCTAAGTGTGTGTGCTCTACAGGACGAGGACACCCTCGAGTCAGCTAAGATTTGCGATAAGTCGACGCTGTTCCTTGTGATGGCCTCAGCACGAGTCTTGCAGCTTTCTCCTAAGCCGGCAAGATGTCCTTCACGGCGGCATAATTTCATCGTGGTGTGTCACGACGAAGTGGTGCAGGTCAAGGGAGCCTCAAGTGCTTCTGGTGGAGCAGAGACCAAGGCCGACGGCTGGCTTTGTCCGTTCAACATGTTTCGGCAAGCACATCCAAGAAAGCCATTGATGTTTGTTTTCATTCTGAGGGCAGTATTGTTCAGCATTCCTTTTTTTCTTTTTGCTGGTTCCACCGGCCATCAGGTAGAAAAGAAGGAAGAGGAACCTGCCAGCAACTTAGCTCTTGCTGTCTCTGTGTCCTTTTGATCATTGGCTGTGACGGCCTGCGCGCACTTGCAGTTGACACATATCTGCGCACATCGCTCCACAGGGTGGAAGTGCTTACCTCCAGATGCTCATCATCACCTGCAAATAGTGAGAATCGCTGCAGGTGGTTCCGGTTCCCTGCCGCGGCGGGTGTGGATTCTGCGGCACCGCCAAGACAGATAACTATTGCACTGTACTTAGCTGTGTCGTGTGCATGAGGCAGCTCTTCGGTCAGCTCTGAAAACTATCAGGCTCAAAATGCTATGCCGAGAGAAAGAAAAAGGAAGAGGAGCAACTCAGAGCTGCTCGTACCGTGTCTTGGTGCTTGGCGAGAAAGCCGTAGGGTCAATTTCTGTCAGGAGGAGGACTCTAAAGCAAAAAAAGACAAGTGAAACTGCCGCGTGTTCAGCGCAACGTCGAATGTCAAGTCGGAGTTTGGAGTTTGGGTTCTTCATCGCTGATCGGTGTGGCGGTCTGGTCCCATGGACATGGGACCCATCTGGCACTCGGAGATAGTTCGAGCGAAGCAATGGTTGCCAGTCATGGCTATCAGATCTGATGGTCGAGGATGCTTCCAAGCCGTGTCTCCTTATAATGCGCTGTTGTAAATCTTGCAGGACCCTTTCTCGCGCTTTCTTTTTCTCTCTCGCATTGCCTGAATGCCAGAAGTTTCTTTCGATGACAGGGAAGAGGAAGCCAAAGAGGAACAAGGAAAAGTAGATCCTGATTCCGAGGTCCGGCATCCGGAGGAGCAGCGCTTTCACAGTCCGCCAAGGCCAGCCATTTCTTTTGCGAGGCTATGGAAGACGTGCCAAAGGAAGAGCAGAAGGAGCAGATTCTTTCGCAATGGCCCACGGCCATACATCGGAAAATGCAGCCTTGCCATTAGACTCGAAGGACAAGACCAAATGCTGGTTCTGCGGTAAGAAGCCTTCACCTTAGTGCTGTTCTCTCTTGGTTTGCTCTTTCTGAGCTTGTTTAACAACGGTCTGTCGGTCTGTCCTGTGTAGATGCAGGTGCGGCCTCACTGGCTTTGAATGCAAGTGCGGCTATACTTTCTGCGCGAAGTGCAGACACGCAGAGGACAATTGCAGTTTCCAGCCGAGTCGCACTTGACTTTTCGCACATTCGAACGTTGAGTCCAATTGCTGCGATGCACAGTCCTCATGCATGCCGTGAGCCTGGACAGGACCACAACTGTGATTTCGATCACAAGGGCAGAGGTCGAGAAATTCTTGCCAAGAACAACCCCAACATTTCCATCAAAGGTGGCTTTGCCATCGTCCAGATGTTAGTCATCCATGAACTGTGTGGTTCGTCTGTTCTGTCTGCCGCGTGCAGGTGGTGCTCCTGCTGTTTGACGCGTTCAGTCGCGGACGCTGGCCTGGAGCTTGGCTTGAGAGCTACTCCTGCGACTACCACCTGGCCCTGGGCGGATCCTTTGTCCACCTTTGTTTGTGAGTCAGCTTCATTTTACTCGTTATTTACGAGTGATTGGGGCTTGAGCAGGTTCCAGAAATTACATCGGAACTGCACAGTTGCGATTAGGCCCTGTGTGGTGCACCGAATTCAAGGTTCACGGCAGGGTTGAGAGTCGTGACACAAAAGCGTCGGCCAGGGCATTGTTTTCTGCTGTCGGTGTCCCGCCACAGTCGTTCAAGAAAGTGCTTGGCATTGGCTTCCAGCTTACTTGCGGGCATGTGGTTTTTCAACTTATCGGGAATACTCGAAGAACAACTGGAAGAGCAGTGCTTGCTTCGTTTGCATGTTCCCCGACACACGCTTGTGTCTTCAACCCAACTTCAAAAACGGCTGGGACATGGATGCTCCGGCAGAACGGATGGGGTCTGGGTGGACGCTATCTTGGTTGGGACATGGACGCTCTGGCAGAACAGATGGGGTCTTGGCTGGACGTTGTCATGGTTGGGACATGGATGCTCTGACAGAACGGAACGGATGGGGTCTCGGTGGACGTTATCATGGTTAGGACATGGATGCTCTAGCAGAACGGAACGGATGGGGTCTGGGTGCACGTTATCCTGGTTGGGACATGGATGCTCTGGCAG